TGGTTCACTATATCCACAAAAAATAACATTATGCGTTTATAGAAAGCACGGGACCGAACATTTGGTTCACTATATCCGGGAGTTCACTATAAGCCGTGTTCACTATAGCGGAGTTTGACTGTATAAACAATCTTAAAAACAAAATTGCTCTAAGAAATGATCTGAAAAAATACAACTATACGATGAGAAAATATAACAGAACGGTAAAATATGTATGCATGTATATATATATATNATATATATATATAATCATAAGAGAACTATTGCGACAGAAAACTATATTTCAATAGTATTCAATAGTATAAAATGACAATAGTATTCGATAGTATTTCAATAGTATAAAATGACAGAAGAAGCTTTTAAAAATAAAAATTAGAATTCGGAGAATTGCTTATAAGCAGATGAGACAGACAAACAATCAATGTTTCACTGTACAGGATGCAAGTTTCAATAGGACAACACCTTATTTGATAGCAGATCATCATAAAGATATAACTATTCAGAAAAACGCAGCATTAGAAAGGTCAAAGGGAAATTATTGCGAAATAGATGTGATGCAAAAATAATTATTGATTCACTGAAAAAGAAATGCAAACTTCATCAGGAAAGGAACTAAATTGATAAGGAAGGATTTAATACAGGCATTCTAAATGGCAGAATGAAAAAGGATTTGACTTCATCAGGAAAGGCAGATGGTTTGGAATTGAGATAAATTAAAAAAGGCTATGTTGACAAAAAAAAAAAAAAAAAAAAAAAAAAAAAAAAAAAAAAGCTGGAATACGGTAAATTACCAAAACTCCGATATGATATAGTTAGAGCAGCAAATAAAACTCAAGATTTCCAGGTAGTATAAATTTAAATTATTATATTAAGAATAACTGATTTTTCATAGTTAAAATATGGTAAATAAATTGGCCCAGTTATTGAGATTAATATATTAATAAGTTATTAGTTATAATATTATATTTGTTATATATAAATAATTCGTAGTAAAAATTTACATTATTGACACTAAAACAAAATGAGAGTTTTCGTTTGTGTACAAATCAGTTTCCAATTTGAAAACAAAATCATCAAAAATAGCTTTTCACTTTGAGCAAAGTGCAAGTCATAAGTCACTTCTCAGAAATTTATCCCCTATCGTTAAAAGTTTAGGTACCCGGTACCCATTGAATAGGGTTAATTATTAATTAATTGTATCTTTTTTGATATTATGACTCAACTATCATGTATTTTTAAACTACTCTATTTCTGATTAGACTTGACTCTTGATTTTGGGAACAATAATTTAATGCTAATCATTATTTAACTTAGAAATTTAGTTATCATTAGTTTACTTTGTTAGATTTAGAAATTAAACTCTTTAAAAAAGATTTTTTCATTTTTTGTATTGTCTGCAATACTGACTTACATTCCTCAGAAACCCGAAATGTTACTGACAGTGACAGGACTTGGGATCCTCAGAAACCCGAAATATTATTGACAGTGACAGGGCTTGGGATCTTTAGAAACCCAAAATATTATTGACAGTGACAGGGCTTGGGATCTTTAGAAACCCAAAATATTATTGGCAGTGACAGGGCTTGGGATCCTCAGAAACCCGAAATATTATTGACAGTGTCAAGACTTGGGATCCTTAGGAACCCGAAATATTATTGACAGTGTCAAGGCTTGGGATCCTTAGAAACACAAAATATTGTTGACAGTGACAGGGCTTGGGATCCTTAGAAACCCAAAATATTATTGACAGTGACAGGGCTTGGGATCCTCAGAAACCCGCAATATTATTGACAGTGTCAAGGCTTGGGATCCTCAGAAACCCGAAATATTATTGACAATGACAGGGCTTGGGATCTTTAGAAACTCAAAATATTATTGACAGTGACAGGGCTTGGGATCCTCGGAAACCCGAAATATTATTGACAGTGTCAAGACTTGGGATCCTTAGGAACTCGAAATATTATTGACAGTGTCAAGGCTTAGGATCCTTAGAAACCCAAAATATTGTTGACAGTGACAGGGCTTGGGATCCTTAGAAACCCAAAATATTATTGACAGTGACAGGGCTTGGGATCCTCAGAAACCCGCAATATTATTGGCAGTGTCGAGGCTTGGGATCCTCAGAAACCCGAAATATTATTGACAGTGTCAAGACTTGGGATCCTTAAAAACTCGAAATATTATTGACAGTGTCAAGGCTTGGGATCCTTAGAAACCCAAAATATTGTTGACAGTGACAAGGCTTGGGATCCTCAGAAACCAGAAATATTTACGAGACTTGAGATCATCAGAAACCCAAGCAAGTTTTTTTTTTTCATTTCACTTTTGAAACACCCTCATTAAGAAAGATATTTCAAATATATGCAATGAAAGTACTTGATAAACTGTTACTGTTAAGTTACAGTTACCTTTTACTATTAAGGTTAAAGTTTGAAAACAAAAAGTACTATGAGTTCACGAATATATACAAGATTTGCACGCTTCTGTTAGAGGAAAAAAAGCATGCAAATAGACAAAGTGAATGAGACAAAGGTAAGAAGGCTTTGATTTTCCACCCAATGGAATGAGTGTACGGGGAGTAGAAAAATAGAATCGGAAACTTTTGCTTTTTTGCTCGGAATCATTATCAAAGAAGTTATGAATTCAAACTCTTACTTAATAGAAAGGCTGTATATCATTTGAAGAACTTCTTTCAAAATTTTAAAAAAAAGCAGTTTATCGTTTAAGTTAGCTAATATCTATTTATATTATCCTATTCTTCTCTACATTTTGATTACTTTTTTAAGACTTTTTTGGACTGTCGACATTTATAAATTAATTTAAGAGAAAACAAGAATCTTTCTTCCATTATTTTAATAAGATGCTTGACTAATGGCTTCTCTAAATTAATATTGAGTATAAAAAGAATATTGCATTATTTGGCCTTTCTATTGATCAGAATTTGTTTCTTAATTCGATGATAAATGTTTTCAGGAAATACGCTGGGTTCTTGATTTGTTTCTACTCCCCGGGGGGGCTGTTAAGAATGTCAAGATCTGGAATGTACGAAGAAAAAAAACAGCCTCTTTGGGGAACTACACTGACTTTTTGGCAAAAACTTTTTATATGCAGTAAATATAATCGAATATAAAATATGTGTTATATCTGCAGCTAAATATATTAAATGATTTCCCACTTTTTCAAAAATTTCAGTTGTTTTTAAAGCATACATTGAAAAAAAATTAAAATCATTCTAACATAAGAAATTATTTTTTGGTTAAATTTCTCTTTATATACTGTTGTTTCTATTATTTTGTTGATAATAAGATAATTTTTAACGTTGAAAAAGTCAGTGTTAAATAACCTCGCCTCCTCGAATGGCGTTCCCTGGGCAACGCTACAGTTATAAGAAGAGAAATGTTTAGATCTCTTCAACTGTAGTGGCTAAGAGGTTATATCATGGAAATGTTTTAAAAATCTGTGTCAAATTTATGTATTAGTTAATTTATGTATCACACTGTGCCACAGAAAAAAACTTTTTTTTTGCAAAACTCGAAATATTCGAAATATTTGTTTTTCTTTGTGTTACATTATTTAATGTAAAAATAGCCAATTAACGAACTAATTTTGAAGCCGATTATTGTTCTTTTTTAAATTTTTATTATTACACACGCTTTTATACTTTATTTAATATTTTTGATTTTGCATTGATAACTTTCCTTAAGATATGTTAGATAAAAAATGAAATATTAAATAGTTAAACTCAAAATAAGCAGATTTGCAAACATAAAATTTTTTTTACTCTCCCCCCCCCCTCATTTATACTGTCACTTTTTACTAGAAAAAATTACGTAAAAATGAGTAATTGAATAAATAAACTACCAATTGAACAAATTAAAAATCATGTATTTAGCATAGCAAAATGTTTTCATGCTCTTTTAAATTTCTATTTTGGACCTATCTTTTTGTTAAGAAAAAAAGATTTATACAAAATAAAAAATTTCAGTTCAATGTTCATCTAAATAAAATATTTAAGAGTTAGACTAAATATTTCAATTTCGAAATATTATGTGTGATTTGAGATACGGAAATATGAATATTCATTGCTCGCGAAGAGAATTTTTCTTCAAAATTAGTTTCATATATTCATAAAACCGTATATAAAAATAAATATTTAACAAATCCAAATCATGAAAATACTACGAAGTTCTTAAAATATGATCTCTGATGTTCCGATGAAAATGAAATACTACAGGCTATAATCATTTCATAAATTAAGAGACAGGTGAGACAATTTTGCAGCACAAACATTATTTAATCGAAATATGTAATAAGTTTTAGTTCTAATTTTGTATTTTGCCATGTAAAATTATATATTTTTTAAAATGATGCAGAGAACTGTATACTTCACAGTTCAAAATTTTGCGACCATTATTAAATAAAATAATAATAAATATTTGCAAAAAATTATTTTTTGGATGGATATTTATTTTTTATCTTAGGATAAACGAATTTCAGAATTGCGAGCAAAAATTTTTTCAATCCACTTAAAAAGTGCATGAGATCTAGCAAAAAACGCAAAAAATGAAATTAATCTTAAGGGGTCCAAACTTTGGAATACTCTCTGATCAAACTGCGGAGACCATGTTTCCCAGATTGCGGCTACCCCCTATATTTTGGGGGTCAGAAATACGATTCTCTCAACAAAAAAAAAATTATGTTCATTCAGAGAAAATACGTTTTTATGTCTGATTTCGTATTTTAAAATATAGTTTGCCCTTATTAATTAGCATATTTGAGATCCTCGAATCATTAAGATTGAGTTCTAAAACATGAAGATCCAATTATTAAATCATAAGTTATTCGAGGTAATTCATTTCTTCTTCTTCTTTTTTGTGTGCATTGTATATCTTTTTAATCGTTAACTCTTTTAAAAAAAGAGACCGGAAGCCATGTTAAAAAAAAAAAATATATTCAAATTAATCATTTTAAACTTTAATCAATAAAAAATTTCTTAGATTTAAAGTACACATCAAGTAAATACATTTTCAATTTAATTAGTGATTTAAAATGTTACAACATAAAAACAATATTTGCCTTAACAACTTTGCACATAAGATAAAAAGAGTGAATCAAAGTTTGTTCGACTAGAATTATAATTATTGATTACAGATCACATTTCCTCCAAAGAATCAATTAAAGGCAAAGAGAGGTAGGTGAAATGCATTCTCCCAAAAGTAGAAAGTTCTTCACTAGTTTCGGAAGCTTTAGTTTACTGATGCCTGATGGAAGTTGCAAACACTTGGCCGTCTGGTTTCGAACACCACACCTTGAGAGATGATAGAGGGATCTTGGAGCTTTCACCAAAGTCGAATCTTCTAAAACGTGAAACTGGTACCAAGTCCATGCGTCCTTCACAAGAGTCCCATCTCTTGCACTTTCGGGATCAAAACTCTTTTCAAATTCCTGACGAGTCAAGTAAGGGTCTGTTATGCTGTCCCACAAGAGTTTCAGCACACACTCAGCTGAAAATGGACGAGATTTCTTGTGGTAATCAGTCAGGTACAAATGCATTACTTGAAGTGAGCGCACAGTTATGAGGTCGAAACCTGAAACCATCTCGACGTTTTCAGGAAGGCTGCAAGGAAAGAAAAAAATAATATCAGCTAATGCTAACACATTTATAAAGTAACATGCTATGGTGTGATAATGTTATTTATTAAAAAAAAATAGTTGCAACCTCTTAAATGACATCATCATTAACAATGACATAATGAAGAGTAACTAACTATACGGAATGTACCGTGTTTATCCTCCCCCCCCCCAATTATTATAATCTTTCTCAAAATATATGTAAAATAATTGCACGCGGCGAGGCTCGCAAATTATTATTAAATCGAGGATAAAAAAGTAAGATTGCATAAAAATCCTGAAGAATCATAAGCTTGATAAATAACATGAAAGCCTAATTAATTGCCGGGGGACACTAGAAAGGGGTGGAGCGAGACGGCTAGAGGAACTATAAAGTATAAACAAGGAATGAAGCAGATTATTATGCTTTTTTTTTTCAGTCTTCATCATAAACACTTATTAATTCATTGTTTTTGGAGGTTTTTTTTTTTTTTTTTTTTTTTTTTTAGCAAAGCTTCATAATATCCATAAATGTAGAGCGTTCAATTTAAATATGTTGACATTATTGTCAAACTCGATGCATATGTATGGTAGTATATCATCAATAGAAAGACAGATTTCGAAACATGACTGAGCGTTATGGAACAATGATTTTTTTACCAAATTATGAAGACGACATATAACATTTGGGAATCCAGATCAATCAATCAAATGACACTAGATAAAGTGCAGAGGGATACAAAGTGTGGTGAAAAGAGTGTAGAAAAGAGAACACCTTAATAACTACTGAATTATCAATCAGATTTTTACTTACCAGGGTTCGATCTTAATGTATCAAGAACTAACATTAAATACGATCTTATGTTGAAATTAAAACAATTTTACCTTTTTTTTCTGACACACTTATAAAAATCAGCGTATTTGATTTTTTTTCATAACCGTCGACCCGCGAGCAGCTGACCCAGTTTTAGGGTTTCCAACTACTAATGTTCAACTTATTAGCCTTATAGTTTTGAATTCAATCCAGAAGACAAGGTAACTCCTGGTATTGGTAGAAATTCGCATCATTGAGTTGATTATAGTATTGGTATAAATTCGCCTTCTTGGAGGACTTTTCGATGGAACTAACCCGCATTTGCGTTACATGGTGAGAAAAACCTCGAAAATCTCCCACGATTAGGCCGGCGGCAAGGGGATTCTACACCATGATCTACCACTGGAGATATTTTACGTCAGCACTATGGCTGAAGCAACCCGGGTGCAGAATTCGTATCGACCAGCCATCGCTGGGTTTCGAACCTAGTTCACCTCATTGGAAAGTGAGCGCTCTATCCCCTGAGCCTCCAGCGTATTTGAAAAGTGAATTTGTTGCAAATATCTTGATATTCGATTCACACATTTAGAAAGTAACGTTGAGGAGAAACGATTTTAGCTATTGCTCATCCCCTTGGCCTAGGCCCCTAAATCAAGTCTAAAATATCAAAGTTACTAGGCTAATAAGTCCGTCCCCCTTTCAATTGTTGAGTCGCAGAGGTATCAATATAATCAATGACATAAGAGAAAGAAGCGATAATAAAATAAAAAAATTTAAATTATTTTGAATTAAATCTAAAACGTAATTGATATCTGGAACTCTTTGTCAGTAAATCAAAAACAAAAGACAAAATAAAATAAAATGAAAAGAAAGAGAACAACCTAATGACTCTTCGTTTAATGATAGGATTTTTAGGTGCCAAGATTAGATTTAAATGGACCTTAAATATGCAAATTGATTTTTGCAAATGATGTCTTAAGTTATGAAATTGAATACACAAAATTTTCTCTTCTTCTAATTAACATACAACTTTTTTTTAGAGAGAAATTAGGATTCTTGACACTCTAAAATGACTACAATCTGGAAACTAAAGTTCTAATGGAGCACTGGGACGCTACGTTAACAATGGAGTGATGTAGAGTTAGAACCATTTACTGTTAATTTCACTTTTTCCCTATTTCGTTATTTCAATGAAGTTTTTCAATTTCAAGAACTATTTTACAAACTAATCAAAGTTTATATTAATTATTTAAAATTACTTACATTAAATATATCAATCCGGAGAATACTATAGACTCTTAAGTGCGCGCACGTGACCTCTCATCAAAAGAAAAAAAGGATTCAAAAAGGTAGGCTTGGTGGCGATCTATAGCAACACTTCTGAAAAATGGGCAAGGGAGGCAGAAGCAACTTCAAGGAAAACCCTGGTTGCATTAAATATATGGGAAATATTTTTTTTTATCGTATCATCCAAAATTTTCGACTATTTAAGGAATGAAAAATAAAAAAAAATCATTATTTATTAAATAGAATTAAATTCGAAAAGTTTTTTTTAATTGCTAGAAAAATATTTTGATTTGCTTATTTAGTTCCAGAGATATGACGAAAGATACAGAAAGTGAAACTAACGTTACATACAAAATTTTCGACCGCTCTCTTGCCTAAGCTTTGGAGACTATATTTATCAGATTGCATCTGCCAAGAAAAAAATATCGATCTGATCATAATGCAAATATCTATCTGATTTCGTAACATAAAAATTTTGTCTACACATCTTACTTATGATATTTAAATAAGTTTATTAGGCTTTCGAACCACTAAGTACACAATCCTAGTACGAGGAAAACAGATCGAAAGTTATAAGTTTTTTTTTTTCGTGGACACCTAATTTAATTTTTTTTCTTTTTTTATATACCTATTTATTTTTTTATTATATTAACTTCATTAATTTTATAAATTAAGTTACTTTTATTTTTAGAATTTAAAATATTAAATTATTCGACTTCTCAAAATGGATTCAATGATGAAAAGAGTGTAACAATATTTTCATATTTTGTTTTTGGGAAAAATACATGCCTTAAATAATTAATTTCTAAAAACACAAACAAAACAGTTACATTAATTACGCATCAAAAATATAAATATTGAATGATCTTTTGATTTTAATTAGAGGACGCTAAAATAATAACATATTATTTAACGTCTTCTATTCCAAGTGAAGCTTCGATTATTCGCAAAAATATTTATACGATTTATTGCCCAATCTTTAATTCAATTCCAAACATATCCTATTTATCTAATTAAAAGAAAAATCTAAATATCAGAAGAAAAAATTTGCTGGTCCAACTGCTCAATTGAAAGAATAAGACAAAGTTAATACACGTTAATCTTAAAAAATAAATATGAAATATAGGTGATATCACAAGAAAACGCAAAGTAATTAACAGGTGTTACTTTCATCTTTTGAAGGGAATTATTTTTTGATTAGCACGTTTTATAATCGTGTGTATTTTGCGGAGTATACTTTGTGGTGTAAATGAAAACGATAATTGGAGAAGGAGATTTAACTTTGAACTGTACAAGATCTGTAAGCAACCTGATATTATTAAATACATAAAAATAAGTAGAATGAATTGGATGGGCCACGTGATTCGAATAAGTGATGACAATACAATAAAAAAGATACTGCTTTTTAGACCCACTGGAACAAGAAAGCGGGGAAGGCCGCGGTTAAGATGGGCTGACTCAGTGGAGTCTGATATTCTCGCAATTAATTAAAAGAATTGGAGATCAAAGGCAAATCGGAAGTCGTCATGGAGAAATCTTCAGAGGAAGGCATTGGCTCACATTGGGCTGTCTGGCCAACTATGATGATGATGATAATCGTGTGCAAAATTTTTGTATTGGCTGTATTAGTTCCGAAGATATGTTTTTATTATCAAAAAGTTAAAGTAAGATTAAATTATCCAAACTTTCAATCATCGTCTGACAAACGTATCAAGACCATATTTTCCAGATTGAATTTAATCCTTAGACGCTGATAGCACATCGCGGTCCCTTTAATGTATTCTTTTTCTGACATTCTAATCTTTAGCAAAAACATACTTCAGTATTTTTTAATTATAAAAGAAATAGTTTAATAGTTACTAAAAATCTCTGTTAGATTATCGGAATTTTATTTGTACTATGTAAAATACAAAATTCAAATAAAGTAGTTCGAATTTTTTTAAAAGTTCATATTCAAAAATTTATCAATAACTGATGTTGTTAATTAAAAAAATATTGATGATGAAAATTTGAAAAATCAATGTTTGGAAGCAAGCCGTGTTTTTAAGAATTTACCTTTAACGCAGGAAAAGACATCTCTGTTTTATGCTGTCTTTCAAAACCATAAATTACTAAAATGCTAAACATGATATTTTCACCTATCTCTACCTAAATTAATAAAAAGCAATAAGAAAAGGATGAAAATTATGTTTAAAAACTATGCGTCAAAGGATTAAACCTATAAATTGAGGGACAAGGGTCCCACAAAACAAAATCTTATTACTTCGAAGAAGGTACTTTTTTTCTTAAAACGTCGTCTACGCTTATTAATTAGCATCATGTAACGTCTCCTCCAACATTTTTCATTTTTTAATGCCTCCCCTGTATCCCGACGGTAATTCTTGTCAAAACAATTCTTCGCAAAGAAAGGAAGCTATGACGAAATTATAAATATAAAAAGAATATAAATTTAAAATAAATAAATAAACGAAATAAATTTAAAAGATAAATATTTAAAAATTAAATTTGAGAAGAAAAAAAAAATTAATCTTGCTCTACTGCTGAAGTATCTCCGTATTTTTACTAATGTATAATAATAAAAGGAAATGACGATGAATGGTTATGAGAAAAATAAACAATCTTCATGATGGTTTATTTGCAAACGATTGGAATAGATTTTCTTAGTAGTTTCTTTCTTTTCAAGTTCTCTCTTCATTGATACTTCCTAATTAAAGATAATATTTCAACTAAATTCAGAAGCTCAAATTTATTACATAATGTATCAAAAGTCATTGAAGAACTCAACTCTTATTAAATTTCTTGAAGCTTATTTTAAACAGATAAAAAAAAAAAAGAATTTCGAGAAGGCAAAATTTTTATAAAGCGAATAACCATAATGAGTAAGTTCAAAATATAAAACAAAGAGTACTTACATTCTATATACTTCTTTCCAGTAGATGAAACTAGATAAAGATATGACGTCAGTCCTCCCAAATCGAATCAACAAACTTATATTGCTTATGTCATTAAATAATGAAGAATATAATAGTAGGAAGGACGATACGTCTTCTCCAAAGCTATCCACATTTAAGATATCCACTTTTGCAGCATAGGTGATCTTAAGAATGTCCTCTAAGATTGAATAATAAGCAAAGGATTTATCGTATTTATGAAATATACTTGGAATACAAAATATCTTCAGGCATTCTATGTAAACATCCTGATGAAGCCCGTGCTTTGACGAAAGTCTCAAAAAATGAATGGTTTTTTCATTACGAGTAACGTTTTCGTAAAAAAATGCTTTTTTCACCGACTTATAGGCTTTAAAGTAGAATTTTAATGCAGAAGACATATAAAGTGAACAATGATTTTCTTCATGATGATCGACGAGTAGGCGACCGCACGATGCTAATGCTTTGGAAAGAGTTTTTTGAGATAAATATTTCTTCAAGCTTTCTGCTGATAAACGCTCAGCGACATTTTTAAATCTCACGACGGACTCCATTGAGAATCTAATATTCGTAGAACCTAATAAAGCTTCATATCTTTCAATATCAGCTTCGTCTTTGTCGAAATAAACTTTCTCACATTCATGCCGACGACACAAATTTTTTTCATCATTTTTAAATCGCTCCAAAGCTTTCACTACCAGCAGAATATCATCGGAATCTACCCTTACAGTACACATCGCTACTAATGAGTCTTAATACTGCTGTACGCTTATAGTACACGTTGTTGCCTCAATAAAGTTTCAAAGTCGGTTTCAACCAGTTTTATTCTATTTCACTTCTTTTGTATTTTCTTATCAGTAGACCAGGAACATCTAATTCATATTGTCAATCAACTGTAGCATCTTCCATTCATAGATCACCATATATGCCATGCGTTAATCATCAAGAATAAAAGATTTGTTTGTGATGGTCTAAAACAAGGTGGGGGGGTGCAAAAGTTGCAACAGAATAAAGTAACTTGATTTCAGGTGTCCCAGACAAGTAAGAAAAAAAATCCCTATTTCTTATTGCAAGTTTAATCTGTGTAAAGTTTTTACTATGTTTTAAGAACCACTATTTAAAGTTTCAAAAATATTATATATATAAAGATATAATTTTGTTGATACCATCCTTTGATTGATATATATATATATATATATATATATATATATATAGGTGGTCCTACATCTTATTAGCAGGGTGGTCATAATGTAATGGCTCTTCGGTGT